CAGCCACTGCACTCCAGTCTGGGTGACAGAATGAGGCTCCAACTCAAAAAAAAAACAACCAACAAATCCCAGCTGTCATGGTACTCACTCCACATCTTTAGGGACAGCCCACTTTTGGAAGTGTGGAACAGTTTCATATGTAACCACGAGGCCACTGTTAACCCAGAAAACTTGGCAGACAGTGGAGGCAGTGGACTCTGCTGGTCCTGGGCCCTGTGTCAGACATTTTTCTTTCAAATTAAGTAAGTCGCCGGGCTCGGTGGCTCAGCCTGTAATCCCGCGCCTTTGGGAAGGTGAGTGGATTGCCTGAGCCTGCGGGTTCGAGACCCGCCTGGGCAACTTGGTGATACCTCATTCTACGATAAATAAAAAATTAGCCAGGCATGGTTGCGCACGCCTGTAGTTCCAGCTACTTGGAAGGCTGAAGCGGAAGGATTGCTGGAGCCCAGCAGGTCGAGGCTGTGGTGGCCAGGAGCGACCACTGCCCTCCAGTCTGGGCGACAGAGTGAGACTCCAACTCAAAACAAACAAACAAACAACAAAAAATAAGTCAGTGACAGAAAAATATTCATGCAACAAATGTGCACCTCCTGAATACTAACATGATTCATGAGCTGAATGAAGACATGGCCATAGACAACTAACTCATCCCTGCCCTCAGGGAATAACATCCTGGAGGGCCAGGGGAAACATTAACAGGTAAGTACACATGCCAGGCATGTTGGCTCACGGCTATAATCTCAGCACTTTGGGAAGCTGACGTGAGAGGGTTGCCTGAGCTCAGGGGTTCGAGACCTGCCTGGACAACTTGGCGAGACCTCATCTCTACAGTAAATCAAAAAATTACCCAGGCATTATTGCACAGACCTATAGTTCTAGCTACTTGGAAGGCTAAGGTGGAAGGATCACCTGAGTCCAGCAGGTTGAGGCTGCGGTGGCCATGAGCATGCCACCACAATCCAGGCTAGGCAACAGAATGAGACTTGCGCTCAAGAAAAACAGGCCAGGTCTCTCACTAGTTTTTTGTTCGTTTTTTGAGTCGGAGTCTGAGTCTGTCACCCAGGCTGGAGTGCCTCAAATTGCTGTGCTCAGGTGATCCTCCTCAGCATTCCAAGTAGCTGGAATCACAGGCCTGTACCACCACACCCAGCTGTTTTTTAAAAAATTTATCATAGAGATGAGATATCACCAGTCTGGTCTCAAACCTCACCTCCACCATGCCCAGCTTTATGACCAGTTTTTTTTTTTTTTTTTTTTTTTTTTTTTGTCGGGGG